TCGACAAGCAGCAGTTTGCTGCCGCTGCTACATGCGGAGTAATCTTAAGACTGAAAGCACCCTAGCTAAGCACAGCACCATTATATTTGCCGATCCCTTCAAACCCCTTCCTGCTGCTGCTGCTGCTGCTGCTGCTGTGGGTGTGGGTGCTGCTGGTGGGGATGCAAACGCAGCAGCAGCAGCAGCAGCAACAGCAGCAGCAGAAAGAGAAAAGATAGACAGCAACTCACCTAGGGAAGTTGCTGCAGCAGCGGGAGTAACGTGTCTGTGGATAGGAGAGCTGCCGCTGCGGATAGCTGCTGCACTGCTGCTGCAGCAGCAGCAGCAGCAGCAGCAACAACAACAACAACAACAACAACAACAACAACAACAACAACAACAACAACAACAACAACAACCATCACTGGATGAACGCCCTAGAAACGGCGAAGGAGCTTGCAGTTATGCAAACCCCAAAAGATATAGGTACGCAAACTCTAAACCCTAAACCCTAAACCCTAAACCCCCCGGTCTAGCCCCTAAGCCCTAAACCCTAAACCCTAAACCCTAAACCTTATACTTGAAGGTCTTGCCTTACGTAATTTAACTGAGAGGGCTAGCAAGAACATATTGCCCCTATCGCGAGTCATATATTAGGGTTTAGGGTTTAGGGTTTAGGGTTTGGGGTGTCTCTGCAGAAAGCAGGATGACTCAAGCTACGCTGCTGGGTTTGCTGGCAGCAGAAGAAGGAGACCTTCCTGCAGCGCTGCAGCACTTTGCTGCTGCGATAGCGTACATCAGAGAGGCATTTGAACAGCAGCAGCAGCAGCAACAGCAGCAACAGCAGCAGCAGCAGCAGCAGCAGAGCCTGCTGCTGTTGCTGCTGCGGTCTGACTTTGTTGCTCGCCAAGCAATTGCTTACAGCAACAGAACCCTGCATGCAGCTGTACAGACTCCTCATCTTACTGCTTTAGAGGAGACAGTTAGTGCAGCAGATAAGCAGCTAAGACAAGAAATAGAGCGGGCAATGCAGCAGCAGCAGCAGCAGCAGGAACAGCAACAGGAACAACAGCAGGAACAGCAACAGGAGCAGCAGCAGCAACAGGAGCAGCAGCAACAGGAGCAGCAGCAACAAGAGCAGGAAACGTAGTAGTACGTGAACTTCTGCTGCACCAGTAGCATATAAAGCAGCAGCAGCAGCAACTGCAACAACGGAAGTAAATGCAGCAGCAGCAGCAGCAAATGCAGCAGCAACAGAGGTGCATGCTGCAGCAGCAGCTGCTGCTGCATGCATGCACCTCACTAGACCGCAAGAACAACTTGTTTGTTTCTTATCCTTTTCGTTTGAATGATATTTATTTAAGAGAGTTTTGCTGTCTCCTTCTCAGCCTCTCTTCTTCTCTCTCTTCTTTTGTTTGTTTTATAGTTCTTCTGTCTCCTTTATATCTTCTTTATATTCTTTGTGTCTCTTCTTCACTGTCTCTCTGCTGTCTCTTCTACTTGTGTCTCTTCGTTGCTGCTGCATGCTTCTTCTGTCTCCTTTCTTTTGTTTTGCTCTTTGGTGTTATTCATGTGTCTCCTTCTTAGATGTTTCTCGCTTAACTCGCGCCTAAACCCTAAACCCTAAACCCTAAACCCTCGAGAGCATAGCACCCTCTTGTGTGTCTATGTGGCGGGGAGGCTCTGCCTCCTGCAGCAGCAGCAGCAGCAGCACTAGAGCTGCTTGCTGCTGCTGCAGCTCTGCATGCGTGCAGCTTGCTGCTTCTTATGTTGCGTTCTGCTGCTACGAGTAAATGCAAACTATTCAAGGTCCTGCTGCTGTTCCTGCTGCTGCTGCTGTTGTTGCTGCTGCTGCATGCATTTAAACCCCCAGCAAATATATCGACATACGAGACAGCAGCTGTCTCCTCACTCTACGCTTCTCCTAACTTCTTTTGTTGCAACTGCTGCTGCTGCTGCACGTGTAGCTGCTGCTGCTGCTGTTGCAGCAAATACGAGTGCTACTGCCGCTGCTGCAGGCAGCAGCTTGCTGATCAGGTCCTGGCTGAAGCAGCAACAACAGCAACAGCGACAGCAGCAACAGCAGCAGCAGCAACAGCAATCTACTTGTGTGGATATGCGCGAGCTGCCTGTACACCTCGCCGGTGTACAGACAGCTCGCGTTGCAAAGGGATAACAAACAAAAAATGTTTGATGAATAAACAAAATATATTAACTGATAAAGTCTTAAGAAAGACACTGAGAGAGAAGTATATAAACATATATATATATATATACATATATACATATATATACATATATATAGATATACATATATATATTTATATACATATTATACATTATCAGCATTATATGTGCACATACACTTGCGTTAATCTTTGTATGTGTCTGCGTACATTAATATATACATATATATATATATATATATAGATAGATATAGATATAGTTATACGTATATATATATATATATATATATATATATACATTGTGCAAATACGCACGTACATATACATTAATATAATACATCTCACATATATATATATATATAGAATGTATATATCTATACAATATACATATATATTTAATAATTATATATATATATATATATATATATGTAGTCTATACATATTGCAGATAGACAATGCACGTAACATACATATATATATATATATATGTATATATATATATATATACATATATATATTATATATATACATACATATATAATATTAATATATACATACATATATATATACAGAAATATATATATACATATATATACATATGTATATATATATATATATGGATACATCTATTAAAAAACATGTGTATATATTCATAGGTTTATTTATATTTGTATACGCATAAACACATACATAATATATATATATATATATATAGGTATAACTTGCATTAGATTAACGCACATATACATAAAGAAAATATGTTTATATATTTATATGTTATGCATAAAGACAAACATCGGACGTCCTGCATGCAGCACTCAATCCTTTAGATAGCGCTGCTGCTGCTGCTGCTGCTCTTGCTGCTGCTGTAACTGCCGCTGCAGTTACTGCGGCAGCTGCTGCAGTTACTGCTGCACCTGCTGCAGCAGCAACAGCAACCGCTGATGCTGCAGGAGACCTTACTCGTCCCGGTAAGGTCGCTGCTGCACTTATTGCATTTGCTGCTGTTGTTGCTGCTGCTGCGGCAGCGGCAGTACCTGCTGGTGACGCTGGCTTTGCTGCATTTGCTGCTGATACTGCTGCTGCTGCTGCAGCAGCAGCAGCAGCAGACCTCCTTTGGAATACACTTGCCAGACCTGCTGCGGCTCTCTCTCTAGCAGCATCCCCCCCGGGCTTGCATGCATGCATGCATGCATGCATGCATGCATACATACATACATAAATGTAAGAAGCGTGTATACGTGTATGCATGCACCCTTGCATGCATGCACGTATATATGCATGCACCCCTGCATGCATATCAAAAGCAAGCAAGCATGCATGCATTTCTGCATGCATGCGTGCATGCATGCAGAAATGCATGCCTACCATGAGCATGCATGCATGCGTGCATCCCTGTATGCATATGAAAAGCATGCATGCATGCAGAAATGCATGTCAAAAGCATGCATACCGAACGCATGCATAGGTGCATGAACGTATGCACCCCTGCATGCACATCAAAAGCATGCATGCATGCATGCATGCATACAAAAATGCATGCATATCAAAAGTATGCATGTATACATGCATGCATATCAAAAGTAGTGCATGCATGCATGCACTACTGCATGCATACAAAAATGCATGCATGCATGCATACCAAACGCATGCATACCAACATGCATGCATACACCTCTGCATGCATATCAAAAGCATGCATGCATGCATGCATGCACCTTCGCATGCATGCAAAATGCATGCATGCATACATACACCCGGGTACACGCATGGATGCATGGAAGCATGCATGCATGCATGCACCTGTACATGCATGCAAAATGCATGCATGCATGCATCAGGGTGTATATATTTTTGCATGCATGTATTACTTGTGAATAAACATAAATATATACATATATACAGATATATATGTATATATTTATATATTTATTGTTTAAAAGATTTGCTGAGACTGAAAGTAGAAACCCTGTTCAAGTAAAGTTTGCTTCATTCTCTCCGGTTCGTCAACAGCAACAAAACCCTCAAGATCTCCCAATGCAAATATGTTTGTAAACCCTAAACCCTTATTATTTTTAATTGGTGTATACACCTGAGACCCTCTTACTGCCACTAGCAATCGAGGTGAGCTTCGCAAAGCTTGCAGACATAACGCAATTCCTTGCTCTAATAAAGGCTGCTGATGCTGCTGCTGCTGCTGCTGATGCTGCTGCTCATGTCTTAGGCAAACAAACAAACACACACACACAAATAAACGCATGCATGCATGCATGCATAGCAAATATACCAAGCAGCAGCAGCAGAAGCAGCAATCAAACTCATGCAGCAGCAACAGCAACACACAAGCAGCAGCCATGCAGTCCCGACCAACAGCAGCAGCAGCAGCAGCAGCAGCGCTGCAGCAAGGAAGAAGCTGCACCGCACCGGCAACAAAGCACCAGCAACAAAACAGCAGCAGCAGCAGCAACAACAAAACAACGGCAGCAACAACAACAACAAAGCAGCAGCAACAACAACAACAAAACAGCAGCAGCAACAACAACCACCAAACAGCAGCACAGCAGAAGCAGCAGCAGCAGCAGCAGCAGCAGCGTACGTTGCACTCTGTGGAGAACGTTTGTGTGTAGCAGCAGCAAGGAGACGGCTGCTGGTGTCTCCTCTTGATAAAGCAGCAGGTGTGAAGTCGACGGGAAATGGGAGCTCTCTAAGAGCAGCTTCAATAGATAAAGAAGCTAGAGACTTTGCTGCTGTATCCAGCAGCACAATGAGCGACTTTATATTCATTGTGCTGATAAAAGAGCAGCAAACAAAGCCTACGCCACTAATAGAAACAAAATAAGGAGGCTTTGCTGCAGAAGCTGCAGCACCAGCTTGCTGTAAACGCATGCTTAACGCAGCAGCAAACCACTCTCCTGCTGCTTCCGCTACTGCTGCTGCTCCTGCTGCTGTTGTTGCTGCTGCTCCTGCTGCACGAGACGACATCACACTACTTATCGGACCCAGCTGTAAACACAAACAAAACACAAAAACATGCAGCATGCTACACCTCCCTATACACTCCAAAAGAAACAAACATACTACCCAGCAGTAGCAACAGCAGCAGCAGCAACAGCAGCAGAAATAGCAACAGCAGCAGTAACAGTAGCAACAAAAATAACAACAGACAGCAGCAGAAGCAACAGCAGCAGCACCAGCAATAATACCACCAGCAGCAGCAACAACAACAGAAGCAGCAACAGCAGCAGCAACAGCAGTTAACAGCAGCAGCAACGACAGCAGTTAACAGCAGCAGCAGGAACAAGAGCAGCAGCAAATACTCACCTGTATGTATATCCGAACAGCATGAAAAGCAGTATTTGAGAAAGACGGGTGTACATACAGCGCAGCGGGAGGGATATACTGCTGGCTGTCGCTGCTGCTGCTGCTGTTGCTGCTGTTGCTGCTGTTGCTGCTGCTGCTGCTGCCGCCACCAAAGAGAGACCCCACAGGAGCAGAAGCATTTGCAGGAGGAGACAGCAAATCTATTCCTTTCAAGTCCACCACACGCGAAGGCACTGTCTCTGCATCAAACAAAACCCTAAACCCTAAACCCTAAACCCTAAATTGCAGACCCTAAACCCTAAACAATAAACCCTAGGACTCGTCTAAGTAAGAAGAAGAGCAATGCATGCGCATGAAGCAGAAAAAACACCAGCAAAGAGAGCAGCAGAGACACCAGCAGCAGATAGCAGCAGCAGCAGCAGCCGGCAGCAGCAGATGTAGCAGCAGACAGCAGCAGCTGACTGCAGCAGTTGCAGATATCAGTAGCAGAAACAATATATAAGAGCTACGCCTCTACAACAAACGCGCAGCAAAGCAACGAGGACGAGCGCAGCAGCAACAGCAGAGACAGCAGCAGCAGCAGCTGCTGCTGCTTCTCTTAACAGACAGCAGGCACTGCGCCAGCGAAAGCAGCAGCAGCAAACAGCACAACAGCAGCAGCAGCAGCAACAGCAGCAGCAGTGTCTGCGGACAGACCTGAGACTGCATGCAAGGAGGAGGGCCTCAACGTCCTAAGAACAAGAGTAAGAAGATCAACTGCTGCTTCATCACTCACATTCCCCTAAAACAAACAAACAAAACCCTAAACCCTAAACCCTAAACCCTAAACCCTAAACCCTAACAACGCCGCTTTTACCCTAAAACCGCCCCAAACAATGCGCATACACCAGGAAGCAGTAACAACAGCAACACGAACAGCAACAACAGCAGCAACAACAGCAGCAACAGCAACATCAGAAACAGCAGCAGCAGTACCAACGACAGTAGCAGGATGCGCAGCAGCGACAACAGCACCAGCCGCATCAGCAGCAATAGCAGCAGCCACAACAGCAACGACAACAGCAGCAACAATACCAACAGCAAGAGGAGGAGGTGCAGCAGCAGCAACAGCAGCAGGGGTAGCAGCAACAGCAACAACAACCGCAGCAGCAGCGACAGCAACAGCAGCAACAGGAGCAGCAGCAACGACAGCTGCAGCGGCAGAAGCAGCAGCACGAGCAGCAACAGCAACGACAGAAGCAACAGGAGTACCAGCAGCAGCAGCACCAACAGCAGGGACAACAGCAGCAGGATGAGCAGCAGCAGCAGCAGCAATAGCAGCAACAGCAGCAGGATGAGCAGCAGTAGCAGCAGCAGCAACAGCAGCGACAACAGAAGCAGGATGAGCACCAGCAGCAGCAGCAGCAGCAACAGCAGCGACAACAGCAGCAGGATGCGCAGCAGCAGCAGCAGCAGCAGGATGAGCAGCAGCAGCAGCAGCAGCAGCAGGATGAGCAGCAGCAGCAGCAGCAGCAGGATGAGCAGCAGCAGCAGCAGCAGCAGCAGCAGCAGCAGGAGCGGTTGACTGCTGACTTGTATGGTTGCGCGTATAGCTAGACTCTGCCAGAGACTGTCTCTCCACGCCCTGGTGAGCCGACTGTCTATAGGCGCTCTCATTAACTCCTTTTTTAATGCATTTCTTGACAGCTGAGGAGACAGTAGCATGTCTAAAGCCATCTCAGTCAGCAGCGAGTTCGGACGGGGTATATCCTGCAGCCGAGAGAGCAGCCGACGATTTGCTGCTGCTACTGCTGCATCCGATATATCTACTGCACCTGCTGCTGCTGCTGCTGCTGCTGCTGCTGCTGCTGCTGGAGCTCCTGCTGATGCTCCAGGAGGAGCTAACGGTAGCAGCATTGCATATAATACACCAGCTAATGCATGCACTGGGCCTGATAGAGACAGCACTATGCTGTCTCCTCTCCTAATTGTGCTATCATCTGCATCGGCAGCAAAAGATCCTGAAGAGAACGCTGCAGCAACACCAGCGCGAGCTGCTTCCTCCAATACCTAACACACACAAACCCTAAACCCTAAACCCTAAACCCTAATAATACGTGCCAAACCCTAAACCCTAATCAATGTGCAGACACTATAAACCCAAAGACAATATATATATATATATATATATATATATATATTATATAATATATCAGCACTAACAGCAGCAGCACCAACAGCAGCAACACGAGGGGCAGCCACAGCAGCAACAGCAGCAGAATCATAGAAAACAGCAGTAATAGCAGCAACACTGCAACAACAGCAGCAGCAGCACTTCTTCTGTCGCAGCACTGCATATCAGCACCAGCACTGCTCAAGCAGCAGCAGCACAACAGCAGCAGCACAGCAGCAGCACAACAGCAGCAGCACAACAGCAGCAGCACAACAGCAGCAGCAGAAGCAATTGATTGCCTGACTCCTTGCATCTGATCCGCAACAAGAAACAGAAATACTTCTGCTGCTGCTTCTTCTCGAGAGACAAGCTGCTGCCCCACCCAGCAGCTAAGGTGCAGCACAACAGCTGCTCTGGGATCGCTGGGATCGTCTCCTCCCTTCAGCAGCACGCTGCACTTCTTATAACAAGGGTGATAAGGAGGGAACCGCAGCAGCCTCTGCCGCGCTGGTGGTGGTGGTGCTGCTGCTGCTGCTGCACCTCCTCCTCCTGCTGCTGCTGCTGCTCCTGTTGATATAGACACCAAACCCCGGCGAGTCCGATTGCTGCTTTTGCTGCTGGTGCCTTTGTTGTTGCTGCTGGCGCCTTTGTTGTTGCTGCTGCTGCCTTTGCTGCTGCTAGTGTTGCTGCTCTTTTGCTGCTGCGTTTGCTGCTTGGGCTGTACAGACACCTGAGGCTGCCTCGGGATAGAAAATAATTCAAACGAAGACAGAGGCACCTCTGTTAAAGTGCGAGGGCTTGAGCAAGGTACAGGCGACCCTGGTGCTGAAGCTAAGCTGATGCTGCTGCTGCTGCTGCTGCTGCTGATGTGGATACCCGGAGTCTTGCTTGTGCTGCTGGGTGGTGGGCTAGGCGCGGGTTCTTCCTGCTGCCACTGCAGCATAATATGCTGCTGCTGCACATGCTGCTGCTTGCTGCTGCTGCTGCTGCTCCAGCCTGCAAATGCATTAGCTCGAGGTAAAGATAGACCCCACCGCTGCAGCAGCGCAGCAAGTGCTTCCTGTCTCCTATTAAAAGCATCACTCCAACGCAGCAGCAGCAGCAGATCCAGCTGCTCGGACCCAAATCTAGCTAAAGTTTGCTGCTGCAGTGAGACACATAGACAATCCGTTGCAGGAGACTGCACCACCAACTGCACCATCAAAGGAGACAGCTCTTCAAGCAAATCTACTGCTGCTGCTGCAGCACGACGCAGCCGCGCAATGTCAGACACACCCAAAGCTGAGTCATGAGCAGCATCTATAGAAAATACACACACACACACAGCAGCAGCAGCAGCAAATCTTCATTCTGTTGCTGCTCCTGCTGCTGTTGCTGCAGGCATTCCTACTGCTGGTGCTGCTGCTGCTTCAGCTGCTCGTGCTGCTCTGCTGCTTATGCTGCTGCTGCAGGGACCCTCCTATTTTCTGTGATATAAACAGCAGCAGCTGCAGCAACAGCAGCAACAGCAGCAGTACCAGCAGCCACAACTGAGAGCCAGCAGCAATAGCAACAACAACAGCAACAGCAGCAGCAACAGCAACAGCACCAGCAGCAACAACAGCAGCAACAGCACCAGCAGCAGCAGCAGCAGCAGCAGCAGAAGCCAACCTATTGCAAAGTCTATTGCTGCTTGCAAGACATCACTAGGGATGAAGAAGATATGTCTGTAGGCAGACATCTGCTGCTGCTCCCTCACAAACCACTCTCCAGGAGGTGTCTCCTGAAGTGCTCTGCGCATAAACCCTAAACCCTAAACCCTAAACCCTAAACCCTAGGAAGAGAAAGGCAGAGGGTTGCAGAAGGCCAGGTAATGTTTGCTACACAACAACAAATGCAGACAAAGAAGAGACAGAGACAGAGACGGAGAGACGAAGACAGAGACAGAGATAAAGATATAGATAAAGATAAAGACAGAGACAGAGACAGAGACAGAGAGACAGACGGAGACGAAGAGATAGAGACAGAGAGACATACAGACAGAGACAGAGACAGAGAGACAGAGACAGAGACAGAGAGACAGAGACAGACAGACAGAGACAGAGACAGAGAGACAGAGAGACAGAGACAGACAGAGACAGAGAGACAGACAGACAGAGACAGAGACAGACAGAGACAGAGACAGACAGAGACAGAGACAAAAAACAAACCAAGAGAAGAAGACGCAGAGAGAGAAATAAATAAAAACAAACAGAGACAAACAAAAACAAACAAACAAACAAACAAACAAACAAACAAACTAACTAACTAACTAACAAACTAACTAACTGACAAATAAAACAAACAAAGGCAAACAAACAGAGGCAAACAAACAAATAAAAAAATAAAACAAACAAATAAACAAATAAAACAAACAAACAAAAACAAAAAAAGATAAAAGGCGTCTCCGCTCCTCACCTAATAAACGCAAAAATCATCTCCCCTGCATCGGCCAGACGCTGTCTCCAGTTGGAGTGCAGCACCTCCACCTCAATCTGCACAAACCCTAAACCCTAAACCCTAAACCCTAAACCCTAAATGGGGCAGGCATTAGGAGGAGAAACTCTAAGAGAGAGCTGATGCAGCAAAGTTAATGCAGCAGAAACAGGGGACACAGCAGCAGCACCAGCAACAGCAACAGCAGCAGGGCATCAGCAGCAGCAGGCCGCCTGCAACTGAGCAGAACAGATCGCAGCAGCAGCACTAGCAACAGGCGCAGCAGCAGCAGCAACAACCACCACAGCCACAGCTACATCCTCAGCAGCAGCAGCAGTAGCAGCAGCAGCAGCAGCAGCAACAACAGCAGCTGTTACCTGAATGAGGGCGCCGCTGTCGTTGGAGACAGGGAGATGAACAGCAGCTCTAACTGCTGTCCCCGTAGCAACAAGGCGGCCCATCAAAGCGTCTCTTCCTGCTGCTGATAGCATTTCAACGATGAGTCTCCTTGCTTGCAGCAGCAGAGAGAGATCTCTGCTGCTGCCTCCCTCCTCTCCTGATGCTGCTGTTGCTGCTGCTGCTGCTGCTGCAGGACCTGCTGCTGCAGCAGAAAGGAAGAAGCAGAAAAATATTATCACATTTGGCTGCTCCGGCGCACACTCCAGAATATGCAGCCGCGGGGCCCTGCATCTACCTTCTGTCTCTTCTGTTTTATTTGTTTTATTTGTTTTGTTTGTTTTATTTGTTTTGTTTGTTTTATCTGTCTCCTTCGGCTGCCAACTGTCTACAGGGAGAGACAGCTGCTGCTGCGGCTGCAGCACACCCTGATTCGCTGCTGCAGTACTACTCCCTGCTGCTGCTGCTGCTGTATTCTCTGCTGCTGCTGCTGTATTCCCTGCTGCTGCTGTTGTTGCTGCTCCTTCTGTTGTACTCCCTGCTTCTGCTGCTGCTGCTGCTCCTTCTGCTGTACTCCCTGCTGCTGTTGTTGCTGCTGCTTCTGCTGCTGGCTCCAGCAGCAAATACTGCAGCGCCGGCCCCACAGCTGCTTCGATTGCCCCCAAAGGCCGCGGGTCTAAGATAGCAACCGTTACCCCCCCGGGATGATACCTGCAAACCCCAAACCCTAAACCCTAAACCCTAAACCCTAAACCCTAAACCCTAAACCCCAAAACGCAAAAACACCAAAACCCTAACCCCAAACCCCTAACCCCAAACCCCAAACCCCTGACCCCAAAACCCTAAACCCTAAACCCTAAACCCTAAACCCTAATTTACGTGAGTCGGTGGTAGCGTCGGATTGCTTCGGAGACAGGAAGCCCCTGCCCCTCAGCCCATCGCTCCAGGCCTCGCCAAGTGCCGTGGTGAAGGTGAGACAGACGCCCCTTCCCGCACTTCTGCAGCAGCAGCAGCAGCAGCAGCAACAGCAACAGCAGCAGCAGCAGAAGCAGCGGTGTTAGGAAAAGGAGAGGAGGAGCAGCAGAAGCAGCAGTGTTTGAAGCAGCACCAGCAGCAGCAGCACAAACAGCAATGCAAACTAACTGTGAAGGAGACAGCCTTATAGCTAGCTAAGGACCTTCCCCCTCACCTGCCAGCCTCCCTAGCTAGCTAGCTATAACTAGCAAGCTAGCTATTAGCTAGCTAGCTAGCTACAGCTAGCTAGCTAACTAACAGTAGCTAACTAGCGAGTAATTAGCTAGCTAGATAGCTGGCTACAGCTTGCTGTCTACTACAGGTAGGCAGCTAGCTAGCTATAGCTAGCCAGCCCCCTAGCTAGCTAGCTAGCTAGCGGTTTTGCTTACGAGGAGTAGGTGCGTAGCGACGGCCCTTGGTTGAGCGTAGAGCAGATAAGCATTAAAGCTGCTGACTGCAGCAACGAAGGTTTTCTCTACATCTTTAGCTACGAAGACAGGCTCAGCTAGCTGGCTAGCCAGAGCTTCCAGCAGCAGCGGCAGCTGCTTCGGCTTGCATGCAGCAGCAAAAGATGTATAAGAACCACCGCACACAACTGCATGCCTACCCCAAGGTCTTACTACGCCTAATGAGTTAAACTTAACACTGAGATCTCCTAAAGCAAAGTCTGCACCACAGCTAGGTGGGGCTGCTGCTGCTGCTGCTGCTGCTGCAGCTGCTGCTGCTGGGGCTGCTGCAGCTGCTGCTGCTGTTCCTGCTGCTGCTGCTGCTGCTGCTGATGCTGTTGAAACAACTGGAACGCTGCGACGCACATAAAAGGAGACAGCTGAGCGAGAGCAAGACGGACAGGAGACAAGCAGCACCTTCGCACCATTCTGAAGCAAATACTCCCGAAATGCAGCAGCAGCAAACCCCGCGCGAGACACGCTGCTGATTGTTAGCGGTGCTGCTGCTTCGCGCTGACGACCTGCAACAGCAGCAGCAGCAGCAGAAGCACAAGCAGCAGCAAAAAATAACCCTACATATGTTTCGCAGCAGCAAATAAACAAGCTGCAGCAGGAAGAGAGACAGCAGAAGTGCTACAGCAGCAACAGCAGCAACAGCAGCAACAGCAGCAACAAGAACACCAGCAGCAGCAACACTACCACCACCAGCAACAGCAACAGCAGCAGCAACAGCAGCAGCAACAGCCACAAAAAAGAACACCAGCAGCAGCAACACCTGCACCAGCAGCAGCAACAGCAGCAGCAGCAGCAGCTTGCCTCCGTCTCTGAGCGTAGCAATCTGACATGCAAGTAGGCGAAGCCTTCTGGGCCCGCTGCGGCCAAGGGGGTCGCCCCTGTCTCCAATAGTGTCTCCTCTATGAGAAAGGAGACAGTCGCTGAGCAGCTCTTCTTCACCTTCTAACTCTAGCTGCTGCTCCAGCAGCAAGCGCTCTACACCCCGTCCCCCTGAGTACCCAACAATACTAGCTGCTGCTGCTGCTGCTGCTGACGATGCTCCTGCTGATGATGATAGTGATGATGAAACACCACCAGCAGCAGAAACTGAAGCACCATATGGGCCTGCTGCTGCTGCTGCTGCTGCTGCTGCTGCTGCTCCCGAAGCCACAGCAAGCGATGAACCCCACACCAAACGCCTGCTGCTGCAGCTCCCTGCAATTCCAACACCCAAAGGGGCTAACTGCTGCAGCCGCTGCTGCAGCTGCTGATGCAGCTGCTGCTGTTGTTGCTGTTGCTGCTGCTGCGGCAGCACCAGACCCTCATCCTCATGGACAGACCCCGTCAACGGCTCCCGCGAATAATCCTGCTGCTCCTGTTCCTGCTCCTGCTGCTGCTGCTGCTGCTGCTGCTGTGGATTCAGCACCACCGGATCCAGCTGCAGCGTCAGCTTCGGACGCCTTCCCGCTTTGCTGCCCTTGCGCAGCCACCGTCTTGTTGCTATTGATCCCTTGGGTGCATCAGCAGCTTCCTTTTGTGCTGCTGCTGCTGCTGCTGCTGCTGCTGCTGCTGATACTGCTGCTGATACTGCTGCTTGATGGGTACTTTCTGCTGTTCCTGGTGCTGCAGCTGCATTCTTTGCTGCTCCCCCTAGAGAAGCAGCTGCTGCTGCAGCTGCTGCTGCTGCTGCTGCAATGACGTCTGCTGCTGCGGGGTCAGACGTTTCTGATGCTGCATTACTGCTAACCGACTGGGCTGCTGCTAACCTGTCTGATTCTGCTGCTGCTGCTGCTGCTGTTGCTTCTGTTGCTGCTGTTGCTGAGTCAACGGGTATTGCTACTGTAGCAGCAGCAAGAGGAGCTGCTGCCGCTGCCGATTCCTCTCCTACGGCTGCTGCTCCTGTTGCTTCCTGCTGCTGCTTCTCGTGCTGCTGCTTCTCGTGCTGCTGCTGCTCTTGCTGCTGCTGCTGCTGCTGCTGCTGGTTTGTGCTGCTGTCGCCGTTGGGCTTGAGCTCTTGCGGCCCTGTTGCTGCTGCTGCTTGCAGCGATGAATCTGTCTCTTTGCTGCTGGCGTTGTACGGACAGACGAAGAGAAGAAGCAAAAGGAGACAGGTAACGGAGACACGTGAAATGCAGCACCGAGGCCTTGAGTTTAAGCAGCGAGACATTGCTGCTGCTGCTGCTGCTGCTGCTGCTGCAGCAAGACGCAGCAGAGGCCTGTGGGGCCCCGCAGCGGCTCGCTGCTGCTGGCAGCCAGAGAGGAGATAAGGATACAGAAGAGACCGAAAGGAGACTGCAGCAGCAGCAGCCACACATGCAGCATCAAAAGAAGCAGCAGCAGCAGCAGGCCCAGCACCAGGAGACAGCAGGCAGCAGCGAGCGAAGACAAACAAATCAAAGGAGACAGTCTCCTGGTTGTCGTCTCCACTACTTCAGCAAAAATAAAAGCATGTCCCTGTTTTTGGTGTTAATTTGTGCTGCTGCTGCTGCTGCTGCTGTTACTGCAGCAGCAGCAGCAGCAGCAGCAGCAGCAGCAGCAGCAAGAAGGCTGCAGCGACAGCGGACCAGCAGGGAGGCCCCTCTCGCTTCTCGCCTTCTCTCTGTCTGTGTATAAACATCAGTAAGACAATAAATAAATAAATATTTAATATATTTATTCTCTCTTTTGCGTGCAAGCTGCTGCTGCAGCAGCTCGATTGCTGCGCCCCCCAACTGCGGGAGACGCCTAAGCAAAGTCTTCTTCGCAGTAAGGCAGCAGCAGCATTTTTAACGCATTTGTTTATAATAAACTGAATAAGAAGAGATGCAGCAGCAAATAAAGATTATTTATATATCTTTTATTATATTTAATACCCCTTCTTAAACAAATCCTCGAGAAAGGCCTTTACTTCATTATTATGAATATCCTTCTATATAATTCAAAATAGTGTTGTATACACCCCAAAGAAGCTGCCTATACACCGCAGCTTCTCTTCTTATTATACCCTTCTTTACCCCCCTCTCAGTCTCCTCTGTCTCCTTTGCTTCGGGCGCCTTGTCGTATTGAAGAAGTACTCCAAACTGCAGCAGCAGCAGGCTATTGCTGCTGCTGTTGTTGCTGTCTCCTTGCTGCTGCTGCTGTTGTCTCCTTGTCTCCTTGCTGCTGCTGCTGTTGTCTCCTTGCTGCTGCAGTGCCGCCGACCAAGAAGGCATACGTGCTGCTGCTGTCTACTGCAGCAGCAACCCTCTGAGGTGTCTCCATGTGGGGAGAGAAGAAGAGAAAGAAGAGACAGCGGGTTAACCAAGCTTATTGTTTATATTTGATTTTAGACGCTCAACTCTGTGAAGCTCTCTTTTTTATTTAAAACCCGCAAAAACTTAGAGGGAGCAGCAGATGCCTTGAAGTATAGTATAATATTATGTTATATAGTATATATATTATATATAATGTATATTATATTATATATATATATATTCATTATATAATATATAATATATACAATATACTGTATATATTTAATGTGTATATACATAATATATATAGTATATAATATATATTGCATATAATATGTAATATATATTAGACATATAATATAATATATAATATATATTATATCTTATAATATTACAAATTTAATATTATAAAAATGGAGACAGCGGCGAAGACGCATTATCCTCAGGCGGACAGTGATATTATATAAGGACCCGCGAAGTCTTTTTAATTTTTTTCTCTATCTTTCGTACAGTCTTACTGCATGCATGCATGCACGCATGCATTTATCTCTGATTCCGTTTACAATGCCTCTATACTGCTGTGAAGCCTCGCTGCTCTTTCTTCTAGTAGCTTAAACTCTACTTCTCTTGCTGCAGACGGTGATGCAACTGCTGCTAGGAGCGCTGAGAGGTATATCTTCTTCTTTTATTCTTCAGTATACACTTCATTTGTCTCTTCTTTTTGCTGCATGCGCTGTACGATATTACTCATTTGGTGCTGTGCTGCTACAACTTTGAAGCTTCACAATACGGTGATATGTTGTAGATATGAACTGCGAAATTATTTGTATGTTTGTCGCTCTGCTTTTTTCTTTTACTTTTAGTCTGGTGTCAACAATAAGCTGCGTTTGTCTATTGTTATTCTATACACAATACACTGCGGTGTACGTACACTTAGACTGCGCAAAGGAATAGAGTGGAGCTATGGATAAGAATATCAATCTCCTTTAATTGCTGCTGTCACGCAAAGGTAGTAGCTCCTGAGCGTTCATTCAAAGCAGCAGAGCAGCAGATCTGCAAGTGGGGCTGTCTCTTCTTCTGTACCTTAACTGTGCAGCACATTGCATGCGACAAGAGCGCTTAGATTAACATTTTGTTTGTTATCCTGGCGGTAATGCATGAGTCTTCTACCTTTATTTTCTTTTTACTGAGCATATACCTTCAGCGGAGAAGTGTAAATGTTTGACTTCGTTGCTATAATAAGAGCAGATGCTTCCCTCAGCACCTCCTCATATTACTTTCTATACCTTTCTGGGAAGCACTTGCATTTAAAACTTCAATATCCATATGCTTTATAAAGGAAAGGCTTCTTAATCTTGCTCCTGTCTCAGCTAGTGCATTGATAGAGGCCTTCCTATTCTCGTAGATGGTGCAGTACAAAAATCGTTTATTATTTTTTTATATTTTTTGTTCATTATCTCTGCGACTTCTCCTTCCTTTACATCTTTGTTCAGCCTCCCTCCATCATCCGGGTATATAAACTGTCTCTCTTCAGGAGACAACTCTGCTATAAAGTACTGGTAGACTGACTTCTGTTGATTAAGCAGTAATACTTCTTGATACAGTGCACATTCAATGTCTTTCTTCTGAAAAGCTGCTTTACTTCACCCTTCCCTGCGCCTCTGCTAATCAAGAGATATTCCTTTATTAACGCGCATGCAAGAAAAGGCTTTAAAACCCACGCTGTTCTTCGGAGACTTGCTGGTAGTCTTGCTCTAATATAGCTACCGTTTATCTTTTAATAAAGAAGACGCGAGAAGCAGCAGCTGTAGCGCTTCTGCTGCATGCAAAGGCAACAATTTTTATTGCTGCACTTGCATCTCTATACCCTTCATAATTTAAGGTTTAGAAAGAACAAAGTCACTCGGAGCGAATTATTTTCTTGTAAAGATATTTTAGATTAAGTGTGCAGTGAAGACTGCGCTAGCTTCAATGCATGAATGCGTATAGTCTTTGTTTGCCTCTCTAAGGAGGAGATATTTTATTAGTCTCCTCTATTTAAGAGATTAATGATGTTATGCTTCTAATGAAGACACTGGGGCAGAAGTTCTATAGGCTGTCTCCCCTTACCCCGGCTTCACGTTTAATCTGGTCTATACACCAGGAAGCTTAGGGGCTGTCTTTTGAGTTAGCATGATGCAGCAGCAAGCAAACAAACTGTGCTTCCTTCTCTTAACCTCATGATGCTAGTGAGTGTAGATAGAGTACTATAATTCAATAGAGGACAGTTGTAAGCTGCTGCAACAGAGTCAGGGGTAATGAAGGCTTTTAAAAAGTAGCAGAGCTACCCTTCAGTCTCCCTACACCCTTTAAAACAAAACCAACGAGTTGGTGAGAAGTAGCGGAGACACATATTTATAATTTGCTTCACTTGTTGCTGCAATTCGTGATGCAAGGCACATCTCCAATACAGTAGACAAATAATAAAGACTTCCTTAGCCCTTAATAGTAGACTATCTAACTTGCGCTCAAGTAGATAAACATATATCTGCTTCTTACAGAGCATATTACAGCATCTCTCCCTACCCTTTGTCTACTTCTCACCCGCTGTTGTACCAATTGATGCTTTTGTTTGAGAAGAGATGCCTCGCGTAGATTAAAAAATATACTATTTAGTTTTGAAGTCGTAAGGGCTCAGTAGACAGTGTGCATGCAGTTTGAATACAACGGATATTTTGTAGCTGAGATGAATATTTGGTTGTATATTTTGATGTTGTGTAGTTTTCTGTATTTCTTTGCAGTGTCTCTTTAAATATATAATTAGTAAGTCAATATACATACAAATTTAAGTAGCCATTAGAGGCATTTGTATGAATGTGATTTTAAAGACTTAATTTGACTGTCTAAAGTATATTTATTTAATTTAATAAACAATAACAATGAAGCAAACCCTCTTAAAGAAAGTTTAGCCCTATTACTCTGTCGGGTGCAGGGGGTGCGCGGCCCATAGAGTTTTCGTGAGGCAGCGAGACCCACTGAAAGGTTATTATTTTGAATTATAATTCATTAAAATAAATAAATTGTGTAGGGTTTTATTTTATATAAATACAGTTGCTGTCTGTCTATGCCCGATACCAACTGTGCTTGAGGTGTATGTACACCGCAAGCATAGCGGCAGCAGTCTTTCTGCGTTTCTTCGCTGCCTCTATGGATAAAAATATATCAAAACAATCACAAAATAATTTAAATCTATTTTAAATGCAATTTAATGATGAAATTCAAAGAAGGAATCTCTCTTCTCCCAGAGACAGCTGATCCCTGCCTGCTGCAGGTCTGCTGATCTACCTACCTACAAAAGCTAGGGAGCTTTGCTGCTCTTTACTAATGTCTCTTCATATCGATTGCAATAAAACAGAAAAATGAGAATTTAAACAATCTTAATACGCCTTTTAGCATCACGAACAGCAGCAGGAGCAGCAGCAGCAGCTGCTGCTGCTGCTCCTGCTACTGCTGCTGGCGGAACGGCGCCCATAGGCAACCACCGGGTCGCAGCAGCAGCAGCAGCAGCAGCTGCAGCTGCAGCAGCAGCAGCAGCAGCAGCGGGAGCGGCTGCTGGAGCGACAGGGAGGGGAGTTAGTAGTATATTTTTAAGTAAGGTCCTGCTTGGGGCTGTATTTGCTGTTACATTCTTCTGTGTCTTCTGCTGTTCTGCTGCTGCTGCAGCAGCAGCAGCAGCAGCAGAAACTGTCTTGATCCGCCGGCTACGTGTCTGCTGGGCTCGTGGGGTTGAAGCTGAAGGTTATTTATATATATATTTATTTGTAACGCCTCTATGAGGCCTCTAGAAGCAACCAGTAGACCTGCAGCACGAAGTAAATCTCCTGCTGCTGCTGCTGCTGCTACCTTGGGGACATCCCTTGGCGGCAGAGATGCCTCGAAAGATGCTGGAGCCGCAGCAGCAGAGGCAGCAGCAGCTGCTGCAACAGCTGCAGCAGCAGCTGCAGCAGCAGCAGCAACTCCCAACGGGGGCTTGCTGCAGAAGGTAGACCACCAGGGAGAGCAATCGCAGACAGTTGAAGTGTACATACTCCGCAGCAGCAGCAGCAGCAGCAGCGTGATGAATGGATTTGTTGAACATATTCAGCAACAGGGGGCGAATGAAGTTGCTCCTGCAGCTGCAGCAGCAGCTGCAGCAGCAGCTGCAGCAGCTGCAGCAGCATCAACAGCAGGAGCAACAGCAGCAGCAGCCTCAGGTGGTTCGACAGAGCGGTCTCAGTCGGGTTGGGAAGCAGACGCACCACCAGCAGGATTGGCAGCAGCAGGAGGAGGAGCAGCAGCAACATCGGCATCAGCAGCAGCAGCAGCAGCAGCAAAGCCTGGCAGGCTGTTATGCTGCCGCTTGTCTCGATGGTATCTGCTGCTAATCTTCTTGCTGCAGGCTGTCTTAATTGGGCCCCACTACCTCAACTGGGCCCCCTTAAGGCAGTGTCTCCTTTACTGGGGTGCATATGAATGGTTGTGTGATGAGGAGTTGTCTCCCCAGCAGCAGCAGCAGCAGCAGCCGCAGCAGCAGCAGCAGCAGCAGCGGGAGGAGCAGCAGGGTGAAGCGGAAGTTAATCCAGCCGTATGGGCAGGTCCTTCTGTTTCTGAGTCTCCTCTATTTGTGTCTCCTGTCTCTTTTTCATCTCCAGCAGCAGCAGCAGCAGCACCAGCAGCAGCAGCAGCAGCAGCAGCAGCAGGGAGTGCACGGTGCAAAGCACAAGATGTAGCTGTTGCTCGTCTCTTTGCAACAGCAACAGCTTCTGATTTCGGAGTCTCCTTCATAGGAGGGTTGCTGCTAGATATGTTAGGCCCTAAAGCAGCAAGCACAATAGGAAGCTGCCTTATGCTGCTCGGCTGCTGCTTATTTGGTGTCTCCTCAGAGCAGCTGCAGCTGTATGCTGTGGGGTTTGGGGTGTATGGACTAGGCATTGATGCAGCTTTCTACGGTCTCCTGTGTCTGCCTACTTTGTTTCCGCAGCAGCCAAGCTGCGTTGCTGCTGCTCTTATGTCTGCTCGCTGCTTAGCCTGGAGCTTTCCTACTGTGCTGCAGCAGCTAGCTAACCCTCGAGGGCCTGGGCTGTCTCAGCAGGTTGTCTCCTTAGGAGTTCTTAGCAGCTGTTTGCTGCTTGCAGTTCTCTTGTCTCTGCTCTTCATCCCTACGAAACCTTTTCCTGCTGCAGACACAAACACCAACCACCAGCAGCAGCAGCAGCAGCAGCAGCAGCAGCTGCAGCAGCAAGAGGGGCTGCAGCTGCAGCACATGCAGACGCCATGCACTCATGTGCATCCGCAACACTCTCCTGCTGCTAATGATGCTCCTGTTGCTGCTGCTGCTAGTACTGCAGCGGCAGCAGCAGATACTGCTGAAGCACCGACAGCAGCAATGGGGGCCCCCGCAGCTCGAATGAATTCGCAGCAAGACAGCCAACACACTGTCTTGCAACTGCAGCAGCAGCAACAGCAGCAGCAGCAGCAGCAGCAGGGGGAGGGATTAGAAGCAGCAGATGAGGGTTGGGGTTTTGAATTTGATTGCTGCACAACTGTTGCTGACCTGCAGCAGCAGCAGCAGCAGCAGCAGCAGCAGAAGCAAGAGAATGAACAGCAACAGGGGAAGGAAGAGGTGGAGGGGCAGCAGCAGCAGCAGCAGCAGCAGCAGCAGCAGCAGGAGCTGCTGCTGCATGCAAAGGGAGCAGCAAGCAGGAGTTGCAGTGTATGTGTGTTTAATAGCTGTGAGAAGAAGCGTAGCGAGAGACTGTTTGCTGCCCGATGGGTTTTAATAAGGAGACAGCTGAAGCAGCTTCACAAGGAGACAGCTGAGTTCGTGCTGCAGCAGATATTCTGTCTCTCCTACTGGCCTATCATCCCTTACTTTAGTTTTACTCTTTTAAGAGGAGTGTTTTTCGGTGAGAGCGTGCAGCAGCTGCTGCTGCTGCCGCATGCAATTGAAGTACTTAACTTGCTGCTAGCTATTGTTTGCTTTTATCCGCCTCTTCTAGGCTTGCTTGCGGATGTTGCTGGGGTGTATATATGTTTGCTGCTAGTAAACGCATTAGGCTCTTTATTGATTGGTGTGTCTCTGCTGCAGCTGCTTCATCCAACTGCAGCAGCAGCATACTTACTTGCTGTTCTATATGCACTCTATGCACCTTTAATGTCTGTTCAAGTGTATCTGTACATACACCGCACGACACCGCAGCAGCACTTAGGAAAGCTCCTCGGTGTATGCATGACAGCCGGGGGTTTAACTTCTTTAGCAGCAACACCTTTGTTTGAGCTGTCTATACACAGCAAAGATAGATTCATGCTTGTTCTTATCTGCTTCCTTCTAGCTTCTTTTGCTTCATTTGGTCTTGTTGCTGCTGCTGCTTCTGCTGCTGCTGCTGCTCGACAAGGACACAAACACAACAGCAGCACCCACTTACCTCCTCCTGCTGCTGCTGATCCTGCAGCAGCAGCACCTGCTGCTCTCCAGCCGCATGCGCAGGAAACCGAAGCAGTCTAACCGCAATGCAGCAAGCACTTCCGCACGTTCCCTCTGCTGCTGCTGCTGCTGCTGCTGCAGGAGCAGCAGCAAAAGCAGCGGCAGAAGCGGCGGCAGAAGTAGCAGCAGGAGCGGCAGCAGAAGCAGCAGGAGAAGCAGCAGCAGCAACGGCAGCAGAAGTCGAAGCAGCAGCAACACCGAGCAGAAGAACCGTCAGCAATGTGAAGAGCACCGCCTCGCAGTAGGCGAGGCGGATGCAGCAGCAGCAGCAGCAGCAGCTGCAGCATCTGCTGCTGCAGATGCTGATGTTCCCGCCGTTGTTGCTGCTGCTGTTTGGTTAGGGCAGCGTCTCGCTGAAGGAGAAGAATACTTGTTGCTGGAGCAGCAGAAGCAGCAGCAGCAGCTGCTGCTGCTGCAGCTGCTGCAGCATCTTTTAGGTGTAGGACGTGGGGATTGGAGACAGGAGACAGATGGGTGTCTCCGATTGTATTTTTTATTATGATGATTTTATTATTATATTTTATTTTAATTTTCTTGTTGTTTATTTTGTTATTATTATTCTTTTAATGTGGTGTATATGTTGAAGAGGAGACAGAAGGAGACGCCTGCAGTGCGGGTTTAGTCTCTGCGTTTGTGTGGGTGCTGTCTGCTGCAGCAGCAGCAGCAGCAGCAAATGTAGCAGCAGCTGCTGCAGCAGCAACAGCTGCAGTAGCAGCACCTGCTGCTGCTGCTGTATATGTGTATTTGAGCAGAGTAAAGGCAGCACTTGCGTCTTCATTCAGTGGTTTGCCGGATGGAGGTGAGCATACACCCCAATCTCTGCTGTTGCAGCAGCTGCAGCAAAAGAAGCAGCAGCAACTGCAGCAGCAGAAGCAGCAGCAACAACAGCTGCAGGGGGAGGAGCAACTGTAGCAGCAGAAGCGGCAGCAACTGCGGCAGCTGTGGCAGGAGCAACAGGAGCTGCAGAAGCAGCAGCAGCTGCTGCAGCAGAAGCAGGGGAAGCAGCAGCAACTGCTGCTGCTAAAGTATTAGTAGCTGCGGCAGAAGCAGCATTAGTAGCAGCTGCAGATGCGGCAGCAACTGCTGCTGCTGTTGCAGAAGCAGCATTAGTAGAATCTGCAGCAGCAACAGCAACAGCAGCAGCAGCAGCAGCAGCAGCAGCAGCTCAGGAGACAAAGGGGGTTGCGTGTTATAAGGCATTCCTTTGTTTTCGTTTTGTTGTACATCAGAGGTGGATATACACCTCAACTCACGCTCAAGGTATACTTACAGGGTTTAGGGTTTAGGGTTTAGGGTTTAGGGTTTAGGGTCTGTGCCCACCAGGCCCCCGCTGCAGCAAACCAGTCAGGTCGGTGGGAACGGTTTGCTGCAGCAAGGGTTTAGTGTTTGCTGCAGCGAGAATTTAGGGTTTGCTGCAGCAAGGGTTTAGTGTCTGCCGCAGCAAGGGTTTAGGGTTTAGGGTTTAGGGTTTGCTGCAACTTCAGGTTGCTTGCTGCCCCCGATGTTAGTGTGAGGGAGGCGTCGCAGCAACAGCAGCCGCAGCAGCAACAGCATCAGCAGCAGCAGCAGCGGCAGCAGCAGCAGCACCAGAAGAGGCAGCGGCAGCGGCAGCAGCAGCAGCTATCTGCAGATGTGCAGTTAACTCAACATTGCTGCACCTCCTTGTACAGCCAAAATGCACCTCAGGTGTATATACACCTCAGCTGTATATACACCTGAAGTGCATATACACCTGAGGTGTATATACAGTGGAGGTGTATATACGGTTGAGCTGTATATACACCTGAGGTGTATATACACCTCAGTTATATATATATATATAATATATATATATATATATATATATAATCGGCTCTTATCGGGGGCTTCTCGTACATATTATTATATTTTAATATTTTTGTTTTTTATTAATCAAGTTATATATGTTTATTTATTTATTAAACTCTTTTATTTTCTTTATTAAATTAATTATTAGTCTTTAATTTAATATATTATTATCTTGTAAATATACTATACTTTATACCTATTATGTTTTTATATAATGTTATTTATTATTTATATTTATTACTATTATTATTTTACGCATTATTATTATTATTTATTTAATATATTACTGTTATATCTATTTAATATACTTTGCTTCTTCATTATATATTATTATTTTCTGTTAGGTCTACTACTACTCTTTGTTATAAATAGCACTTATTACATCTATTATTATTATTGTTATTAAGCATAATGTCTTTTGTTATTATTTATAATATCTATTATTATTACTACTCTTTATTATAAATAGTATATATTACATTTATTATTATTATTATTAAGTATAATATCTTTTATTATAGTTTATAATATCTATTATTATTACTTACTATATATATTATTATTTATTATATTAAATATTATTATTTATATCTATTAGTATTATTAATTATATCTAATTGTTATCAGTTATTATATATATTATTATTTGTTATCTATTAATATTTACTCATAATATTATTATTTTAATATCTTTTTTAACCTTTTACTCTGTTATCTGCATTTATTGTTTGTTTTGTTTGTTTTATTATTCTTATGAAGACCCTTTTTATTGTTTATTTTGTTTAAGATAAATAATTTGTTATTGTGCTTTGTTTGTTTTTTCTCTGTTCTATTTAATACTTCTTGACGTCTTCTTGCTAACTCCTTTATAACCCTTTGTTGTCTGCTAAACCCTAAACCCTAAACCCTAAACCCTAAACCCTGAGGGCAGTAAGGCATTAAAAAAACAAAAAATATATCTATTGAATTCAGCTAAACCCTTAACAAGAAGTTATATGCCTCGCAAAAGTAATAACTAATGGCTGAGAATTTAGGGTTTAGGGTTTAGGGTTTAGGGTTTAGGGTTTGCACGGAGGAGACCGCTGTCGAAGCGTGGCGCTGTAGCTTGTTTAAACCCTAAACCCTAAACCCTAAACCCTAAACCCTAAACCCTCGGTGAATCTATTCGAAAGTCCCTACCAAATCTTGAAGAACCGCATCAAGTGTTTAGGGTTTAGGGTTTAGTGTTTAGGGTTTAGGGTTTAGGGTTTAGGGTTTAGGGTTTAGGGTTTAGGGCGCCCAGGCTGGCTGGAAGCGGCGGCAGCGGCTCGCGAGACCAGCCCTTGCAGGTTGAGGGTTAGCTTGCAATTAGGGTTTAAACAAGAATTATTTTTCTATTCTTTTGTCGCTTAGGTCTTGGTTTTTATAGTTTAGGGTTTAGGGTTTAGGGTTTAGGGTTTAGGGTTTCTTCTCAGTAGGCATAGCTGGTTGTCTTTGTGGAGCGTTGATAGTTCCTGCCCTCTTCTCTTTTACTTTATTTAAACTTGCTTTTTAATATTAAACCATTAATTAGGGTTTAGGGTTTAGGGTTTACTCAGAAACATCTTCAGGGGGCCCCCTCCACCCTCTTAACTTTCTTTGGGGGCCCCCAGTGCAGCAGCAGATAAAAAGAGGGTACAGCTGGGGGCCCCCGGGGGCCCCAGGGGCCCCCAGCTATATCCTATTGCTCCTAAGCAGCCACTGCTGCTGCTGCTGTTGCTGCTGCTGGTGCTGCTGCTGCTGTCACCTGCGCTTCAGCAGAAAGACTTGCTGCAGTGGCGAGCCGCTGCTGCAGCTGCAGCTGCTGCTGCTGCTGCTGCTGCTGCTGCAGTCGCAGCAACAGCCACACATGTAGCAGCAGCAGCAGTCGCAGCTCCACCAGACGATGACAGGTAGACAAAGTTCTGCTGCTGCTGCTGCAGGGACGGCAGACCCGTCCACCCGCAGTAGCAGCAGCAGCAGCAGCAGCAGCAGCAGCAAGAAACACGAATGCCCCATTTGCTTCGAGGGCTTCTCTCTTGATGACGAATTCAGGCCCAAGGTGCTGTCATGCGGTAAGCTAGGGTTTAGGGTTTAGGGCTTAGGGTTTAGGGTTGGGTGTGTGTAGTTACAGGCAGCGCGATGCATCAGCTACCCAGCGTTTAGGGTTTAGGGTTTAGGGTTTAGGGTTTGCGCTCAGGGCACTCCTTGTGCTGCAGCTGCATCTGCAGATTGATTGATGCTGAAGCAGCAGCAACACAACCGCTGATGCCGCTGCTGATGGAGGTGGCTGCTTGCAGGCGTCGCTTCATTGAGCTGCAGCAGCAGCAGCAGCAGCAGCAGGAAGGCAGCAGCATCTTCCCTGCTGCAGCTGCTGCACATGCTGCGGGCCTCTGGGGCGCCGTAGACGCTGCACCATCAGCAGCTCTCACGGCAACAGCGGCAGCAGCAGCAACCGCAGCAGCAGCAGCAGCAGCAGCAGCAGCAGAGCAGCAAAGGCTGCGTGCTCTCTTATCCTCTTCTCTTCTTGCTGCTCCCATTCGCTGTCCTTGCTGCCGCTGCTGGAGCCGCGTTGCTGCGGAGAACCTTGCGCTGCTTCAGTTTGCTGAGGAAGTGAGGCAGCAGCAGCAGCAGCAGCTGCTGCTGTGTGCCCTCTTCTTTCTATGGCTTCTCACCTAGGGGCAATCTAACCGGCTTGATTTGCCTCAATGCTGCTGCTGCTGCTGCTGGTGCTTCTGCTGCTGCTGTGGCTGTTCAGGAGGAGCAGCAGCGCAGACGTCGCCTCGAGGAGCAGCAGGAGCAGCAGCAGCAGCAGCAGCAGCAACAGCAGGAGCAGCGCCGTCGCGAGCTGAAGCGCCGACCTCCAGGGACAGAGGAAAGAGACAATGAACAGCAAGTGTGAGTCTCCAAACAGCAGCAGCAGCAGCAGCAGAAGCAACAGCACCAGTATTAGCAGCAGTAGCAAGGGCACCAGCATCAGCAGCAGCAGCAGCAGCAGCAGCAGTAGCAGCCGTTCAGCTGCTGTTTCAACTGGTGTAGTGTCGTTTTTCTCCTTCTGTTGTTGCTGCTGCCGTTGCTGCTGCTGTTGCTGCTGCTGATGCTGCTGCTGCTGTTGCCGCTGTTGCTGCTGTTTCAGGATGTGCGAAGCCCATCCTTGGCAGCCCGTCGTCGCTCTCTGCGGTTAGTTGTTTAGCTGCTGCTGCTGCAGCTGCTGCAGCAGCAGCTGCTGCTGCTGGTGCTGCCGCTGCTGCTGTTGCTGCTGTTTCTGCTGCTGCTGCTGCTGTTGGCAGCCAGTCAGGTGCTGCTGCTGCTTGTTTTGCAGATGATGCCTGCTGCTGTGTGCGTTGCTGCTGCTGCTTCTGCTGCTTTGTGTCCCTATTTACCTGCTGCAACTGCTGCTATTGCTGCTGCTGCTGTTGCTGCTGCAGTGCCGTGCAGCAGTCTGGTCTGTGGGTGCTGCCTGGCTAGCGAAACGGAGCCGCACTTCTCTCACGCGCGAATTGCGGTGTATAGACACTCAGCTGCTGCTGCTGCTCTGCTGCAGCAGCGAGCAGCAGCAGCAGCAGCAGCACTTCAAGAGGCACAAATACACCTGGAGGATCACCGCAGCAGCAGAAAAAGACAACTCGAGGTCCTCCTATGCTGCTGTTGCTCCTGCTGCTGCTGTTGCTGCTGCTGTTGCTGCTGCTGCTGCTGTTACTGGGGGTTCCGCGTGGGTTTGCTGCTGCTGCTCCTACCATTGCGACTGCTGCATTCTGTACTGCTGCTGCTGATGCTGCTGCTGGGGTTTCCGCTCGTCTTGGTTTGTTGCTGCTGCTGCTGCTGCTGCGTTGGGTGCATACTTCTTGCTGCTGTTTGTTTCTAGTGTGTACCTGCTGAAGGTCTGCCGTCTTTGTTGCACTTGGCGTTCTTGCTGCTGCTGCAGCAGCAGCAGCAGCAACAGTTCCTGTTGTGGGGGGCTATCGGTTGTTGATTTGTTTTGCTGCAGTTGCTGCTGAGCTGGCAGCAAATGCGTTGGAGTGCAGCTGACGTGTTATTGCCTCTCTAGTCCTTGCACCTGCTTCTTCTTTGTTTCTGCTGCTGCTGCTGCTGCTGCTGTTGCTGCTGCTGCTGCTGCTGCAGCTGCTGGAGTCGCGGAGCCGCATGGTGTTTATGACTGCTTCGCGTTTGCTGGAGGACATCCGCAACTCTGCTCAGGCTCTCATTCAAAGAAAAACTGTTCGTCTGCTGCTGCTCTTGCTGCTGCTGTCGTTGCTGCTGCTGCCGTTGCTGCTGCTGTTGCTGCTGTTGCTGCTGCTGTTGCTGCTGCTGCAGCTATTGCCGCTGCTGCTGCTGTTGGTGTTGCTGCAGCTGTTGCTGCTGCTGTTGCTGCTGTTGCTGCTGCTGGTGCTGCTGCTGTTGCTGTTGCTGTTGCTGGTAGCGACAACAGCAAATAAACAAATAAATGGCGGCTACACAACGAGCTGCTGCCAGGCTTATTGCTGCGACGCAGCAGCAGCAGCAGAAGCAGCAGCAGCAGCAGCGGCAGCGAATATGGTCGGTGTTTGTTTGTGTGCAGCAGCAGTTCTTAGAGGAAGTGATGAGTTGCTTCTTAGGACAGCAGCAAGTGCTGCAGCAAGAAGCAAGACAGATAGAAGGTTTGCTGGAGGTTGCTGCTGCAGCAATGCAGCGGCTGCAGGAGCAGCAGGAGGCAGCAGCAGCACTTATACGCGCCGAGGAAGCAGCAGAAAGAGCAGAGACGCAGCAGCAGCAGCCTAAACAGCGGAAAGCTCTCTGCAGCAGCAGTAGCAGCAGCAGCAGCGGCTGGGAGGAGCAGCAGCTGCGGATTGAAGTCTCCTCTGCTGCTGACAGCAGCAGATCGCCACCCAGACAAACTGCTGCTGCATTTTCGTCTTTGCTGCCGTCTATTGCTGCAGCAGAAAACCTGCTGCAGCACATCAACAGCATAAGAAACAAAGCGCAGCAGCAGCAGCAGCAGCTGTTGCAATCATTCTTCGCCTCCTCTAGTGGATGCCCCCAGCAGCTCCAGCATCAGCATCAGCAGCAGCAGCAGCGAAGCAGCAGCAGCGACAACGATAATAGCAACAGCAGCAGCAACAGCAGCAGCAGCAGCAGCACATTTCCAGCTGGCACCGCAGCTCATGAGGCGGCAAGAGACAGCACTGAGGGACAGGAGGGCCTTGTTGCAGCAGAAGTACCTGCAGCAACAAGCGCACCAGCGGCAGCAGCAGCCGCAGCAGCAGCAGCAGCAGCAGCAGCAGCAGCTGCTGCTGCTGCTGCTGCACCAGGACCCGCACAACCAAGGTACTTCGTGCTGCCAGCAGCAGTAGATATCATTGGTGAGTTGCAGCTGCCGGAGTTGAAGGTGCAGCAGCAATTATTTGCTACTGCCGGGGGCTCCGATGCTCCTGCTGCAGTTGCTGCGCTGCATGCATCTGCTGCTGCAGCAGCTGCTGCAGCAGCAGATGCAGCAGCTGCTCCCTCGTCTGCTGCATCTCCTGCTTCAAGCCAAACAGCCACAGGAATTATCCCCAGTGCAGATAGAGATGCTGCTGCAGCAGATGCTGCAGCAGCAGCAGCAACTGCTGCTGCAGCATCAACAGGGATATGCAGCAGATTGGAAAGGCTCTTCTCTGCCCCGGAAACAGCGACAGCTCCAGCGCATGCTGCTGCTGCTGCTGCTGCTGCTGGGGGTGGTGGACTAGCTGCTGCTGCTCCCCAACTGGGCGACTGCCAGCAGCAGCAGCAGCTGCAGTTGCAGCAGCTGCAACAGCAGCAGCTGCAACTGCAGCAGCTGCAGCAACAGCAGCTGCAGCTGTTGCACTCTTCTTCTCCGGAACAGCAGCAGCAGCAGCAAACCCACCACCAACAAGAAGAGCAGCAGCAACACCACCAGCATCAAGAGCAGCAGCAGCACCAACATCACCAGCAGCAACAGCAGCAGGAGCAGCAGCTGCAGCAGCAGCAACAACAGCAGGTTGCAGTCCCGCGACTGCGGCTCACAGACCTGCAGCTGCCAACTCAAGAGCAGCAGCAGCAACAACAGGGGGAGCTGCATCATCCGCAGCAACAGGAGCAACAGCAGCAGCAGCAACAGCAGCTGCAGCGGGAGCTGCAGCAGCAGTTACAACAACAGCTGCAGCTGGAGCAGCAGCAACTGCAGCAGCTGCAGCAGCAGCAACAGCAGCAGAAGCAGCAGCAGCAGACAGAATTTGCTGCCAGCAACTCTAACACTCCATTTGAAACCCCATCGGCGTCGCCGCTGCAGTCACCGCGCCGCGCTGGCACCAGCAGCAACAGCAGCAGCAGCAGCAGCAGCAGCAGCAACCCATTCGTGGCTTGCTTCCAGGTGCGCAGCAGATCTCGCCCCCAACGTACGAGCCACAGGAGCCCTCGGCATACACCCGGAGGCCCCCCTGAGTTTGCTGCTGCTGCAGCTGCCAGCAGCAGCGGAAGAAACAACAACCCCACCAACAACAGCAGCAGCAGCAGCAGCAGCAGCAGCAACGGAAGCAGCCCTGAGGGCATCACTCAAATGCATCCTGTCTGTGCAAAGGATGCTGCTTGGTAGCAGATTTTGGGGTGTACGTACACTGCAGCACTTGCTGCTAAGCCAGCCCTAACTGAAGCAGAGCAGCAGGAGCAGCAGCAGCTGCTGCTGCTCAGGAGCAGCTGCTCACGAGCAGCAGCAGCTGCTGCTG